AACATGCCAGCAGCAGCACCTCCCATCCTGCAGTCACAGCAAGGCAAGCAGATATGCAGGGTGGTTGCAGAACTTCCCCAGGTTGCTTCCCCCACCTTGGGGTAGGTCCTGGAGCCCTCCCATCAGCATCTGGAAGGACATGCCATGTCTGGGCTGCCTGCCAGCACCCCTCAGCACCCAGAGCACGTTCTGGACCAAGCGGGTAACCCTGGGGCTGGAAAAGGGCAGGAAAGGAATTGCAGGGCAGAGGAAGAGACAGACTTGGTGTCACGCAGGAGAATGTCTTAGTGCCTGGCATAGCAGCACCTGAGGACTGTAGCTCTAGGCCCCCAACACACCGAGCAGAGTTGAGCCATGTATTAGTGCAGCTGATGTGGTCAAGGCAATTCATCTCCTCCCATGGATGAGAGCACACTGTCCTGTAGCCATGGCATGAACAGCAGTGGGATATTCCTTTCAAGATGTGACAGGCCATGTGCCATAAACTGGCAGCATCTCTGAAGAACCCATAGGCCAGAAGAGAACAGACATTGCCCTCTGTAAGGTGGTGATGCATATGGCTTTGCAAGGTGTGCATAGGCCATGCAAGAGGACCATCATGCAAGATACATAGGTAGCACCAAGGAACAGGGCATGCAGACTGAGAACAGACATTATATTCCCACAAGGCACTACTGAAAAACCTGACTGGGAGCACTGAAGGGACACGCATTACTTTCATGAGAACTAACTGTGTTATGTCAGTTAAAGTCTGCATGCTTTTATTTGAACACAGCATTTATGAAAAAATAACCAACTAACCAAAACAAATAAAAACTAGTGTGAAGAATTTCCAATTAGTTCTGTTCAAAACAGTGTGAAAAAACTGAAAGCAGAATGAGAAGCAGCATACTCTGGTATCAAAGCTTTTTCAAATGCAAAAAGAAAGAAGTTTACATTGAGTAACGCAAATTCTCTATATTGTTTTAATTTCTCTTTAAAGTGTCTAATTAAAAACCTTTTTTTTTTTAAACAGAGCTCCCTCGTCATTTAGTCATGGACATGCTATTTTATCATGTAACTTACTTTCATATACTTTCTGAATTGAAACTTACTGTCATGTAAGCATAAGCAGCTCTCAGGCATTTCATGGGAGAAGCTCACAACTCCATAAGAGGCTAGTTGGAAACCACACAAATCACTGCAGAAGGACTCACCTTGTGGGGTCGGTGCAGGGAATCCAGTTCACTGATGGGTCAGGGATATCCTCCAGGTAGGGGTAGATGGTTTCTCTTGTGAAAAGCCAGCCATAAATGCCATCTTCGGGAGTCACAATGATGTGGGCACCCTGAGACAACAGGGTCCATTAAGATTTCACCCATCAACAGACAACCAGGAGGGTCAGCAGGAGGAGAAAACACTACTTAACAACAATCCAAATCCACCTAGTACCTGCTGGGCGGCTTCCCTGATTGCCCCTTCCAAGACATCCATGTTTTTGTTCATCAGGGCCAAAGCATCGTCGGGAGAAATGGGCTCGCCAGTGGCATCTGGCAGGATGACCGCGTGCTCGTAGACGGCTGCAATGAAGGTGTCGGAGGCAAGGGCCTGAAGGACTGCGAGTGCAAACACCGCAGCGTGCAGGAGAGGCTGGGAAGGGAGCATGGCTGGTGCCTCGCAGCTCCCAGAGTGCTCTGAGTCATGGACAAATGGTGCAAAATGAGCATGCACAGAAAAGAAAACAGGGACAAAGTTTAACTTTGAAGGAGGGAGGAAGTGCTGGTCTGTTAAAGCATTACCTTGGAATCACTGGTGACATACAAGAAAGTGTAACAGTACACAGCAAAGATGTCGCAACTCAGTGAGACTAAAAAACTGGGCAATGCCAAGACTAATTGTGCCAATACTAAAAAAAGTCAATAAACATGTGGCTAGAAAGAACGGTCCAATTTTGTTGTTATACTTTTCTCTGTCATTGATTGCAATAGACTTTTGCTATCTGTGTTGGCTCAATTCCAATCCTGAGGTGAAAGGTGGATGTGTCACCCTTGGAGCTAGTCTTCTGTGAAGTCTGAGTGGCAAAACTGAGAGTCTTAAAAACTGCTTTGTTCTAGTGTTTTCATATTTCACAATTTCTGTGCTATGTGCCAGTACGTGCAGCTTGCTTCCCTCAGTTTCTTTAGACCAATGTCATTACATTAGCATCTCACTGTACTTAGATGTAATAGGCTTAACATGCCAGCAACAGAAGTGTCCCTTACATTTGTCCCAGTGGCTCTCTCAGTCACTTCTGTTTAACTGTACATCGCTTTCCAACAGACTTCCACCAGAAAATATGCATCTGGAGGGAATGCTTTCCTCTGAAATCAGGCAAGTAAGCCACCAGACAGACCATTAACTGAGTACCTCATTGCTTGGCTGCAGCCAGCCTGAAGCAGGAGGGCAGGCTAGTTCACCAGGTGCAGTGGCATGCCTGCTCCTCTGCTCACCTTTCCAGTCCCCCTGGAACATGCTGTGTATTGACAGGCCTTCATTTTTAATCTTTTACTTCAGTTCAATTCAAATGCATTTTTTTGCTATGACATTTTCCATTTTCTGACTTTCTAGTAGTTGCAGTATTCTCATTTGGAAAGGGTTTTCTGAATAGTGGGAAGCCAAACATGCTGTCTGCCTTCAGCTGCAGCAGACTGGCATTGTAGAGCTGTTTCAGAAAAGACAAATGTGGGTGTATGCAAGCACCAGAGAGTTCCCTGCAAAAGAAGTGCTGACTGAGGGTTTCAACCATTAGGAACATTGATTTGCATCTGGTAACATTCACCTCTAAGTACTTCTATACCTACATTGCTAGATACAGCATGTTCGTTCAGGAGCCTTAAATATGAGCCTTTAAAAGGTTTTAATAGACATTTCAGTGATATCTGAAGTAATGTAGCTTGGAAGCCTTTCCCCTCCTCACTGTTTTTCTTATCAAATGAAATATGGCTTGAGTCACATTAATCACAATCAGAAGTCTCAAGAAGGAAGCAGTAAACACTCTCTTGTTTAGCAACAGCTACGACAACAGTCAGCTCAGAAAGCTGACTACCCTGCCAGGGCTGAACAGAAAAAGTTACACATGCAGGGGCAGGGGCACTGCCCTGCAAATTCAAATCATGCTGCCAGGACAGGGGGGTTTCTGTCCTATGGTGGGACGGAGGCATCCCTGCCTGCCTCTGTACCAGCAGCCATCACTGCCTGCTGCCTGCAGAGCTGGGTGCTAACCCAGCAGCAAGGAACGCACTCCGGTTAAATAAACCAACCCACTCAATAAAACATAACGAAACTACAGCTCTCCAGGTTATACATGGCTGCAGGCAATGTAAGAGGAAATTTACCCTAGAGCTCCCTCTACTTTTCACACCTCCATCCTCCCAGTCCACTTTCCTCCCGTCTCTACTGCACTCTCCCCCATCTCTGCTACAGCATGAGGACCGCAGTTATCTGAGGACTTACTGCTGTGAAACAGGATGTGATTTGATGTTAAATCAGCTTAGCTGTAGAGGTAGTCCGTCTTCAGATTGCTGTCCTGCTCCTTTACTTGTGCTAAGGGAGCCTGTTGGGAAGACTACTGCTTATTTGAAGGGTTAATCTTGCTGTGGAGAAGCCTGTGTGAAGGGTCACACCCATAGCATGCCATCACTGCAAAGCAATGAGGACATGTGGGCTGGGGTGAGGAAATCAGAAGCGGCTCATTTTTAGCCACAGCACGTAGTTATGTTGCTCAGCTGTAACCAGGCACCATGTCCTAGGGCGCAGATCTAAACGTAGAGATACAGTTCTTTTCTCTACAAACAAATAGTGTTTTCCAGTACTTCTATTGCATGAATTGTAAAGGGTTATAATTTAATATATCTAGAGACTAAAACCTTGTTTTTACAGTGTTCACTTTGTTAAAAAAACAATGTCTTTTACATCCTGCAAGTCTGTTTTTCATTACATTAGTAAGATTAAATGTGAACAATGTTCTGATTTCAAAACAACTTGCAGAACAAAAAAAAATCCAGAAATCTTAGTCGTGCCATGCAAAGTAATCCAGTCCACTTGCTTAGAAGGGACAGTCTGCAAGGCCTGCACTCGTACATGTGCCAGTGCATTCAACCTGTTCAGGCTGTTCACCAGCTCTACCCAACACCTGCCTGCACTGTCCCGATTCTCCCTTGCACCAGCATAAGCAACCAATTCACTGGGAGACAGATGTGCACCTGCAAAACTGCTCATTTTGAGAATTTCTTATATGGACCCACCTGGCTGCTTGAAACAGGTGGCACAGTTATCAATAGTTTTGTGGAAAAGAAATTTTCCACACCCTAAAACAATGGCCAGAAAGATTCTAGTAGACTCCTCCAACTGTAAGTTAGGGCATGGCATAGTAGCACATTACACTGTGTGCTGAATTGAATAACTGTTTTTGAAGCAACAGTGTTTTGAGGCTTGTTTTCATTTTCAAAGTAAATTATGAAAGTTCAACCATCAGCCTTTAAAGGTTCACAAAAGTATGTGTTCAGAGATGGGGCAGAACAATGTTGAGGAAATGACTTCTAATACTCCACCAAAAATTTCAAAGAATTAAAAACTGGTTGTTATTGGGCCACAACTCAGTGCTGTGTGCCTGAATCCTACACAATTAAAGTCAGAGGAATTTATTTTCTATTGTCCCTAGTGTCAAGGTTAAGCCTATGACAACCAACACTATCATATAAAAATACATACAGAACTGCCCAGCAGAGTAGTTTATTTTTGCTGCAAAATCAAGTCAACAAATCAATGCCCAATGACTATGCTGTTAGAAAAGGTAACTTAAGAAACAGAATGCCATTATAATTATGGATGGCAACATTAACATTAATTAATATTATTATTAATTATGATTTATTAGTATTACAGAAACAAGCAGATAAGATCTTAAAGGATCTGCAGTGAAATCATGGTGAAGCTTGCTGTGTGTGTGGCGGGTCCTTTTCATACCACCTCCCAAAGAGTGTTACACTCAGAACTGGCTTTGATGTAGTAGTCTGACTTACCAGACGTCCATCAGTTAGCACCTAGTTATGGAAAAGTAAAATAAACAGGAACATCAGCAAAGCAGTACTATAGCATGACAAACACAAAATAATATGTTCATTAATGTTGACCTAGTTGAGAGATATTGTAGCTCACTTGGAGCTACCACAAAGTGTAGGATAAACTACACTTCTGTCTTGAGCAAGACCTTGTTCTAGGGAATTCGGAGGGCAGGGAAGAAGGGAACTGGGAAAATTGGACCTGCTGTATGAATACAACCAGGAAAATCAGGCAGAAATAAAGCTGCCTTGAACTCAAGCCAGTTACTGAAATAGAGGACACTGGTAACTCCCAAATTGCTCCAGTGTCCTGTAGTGGTTTTTTGACCATTTGTGTTACCAGTCTGACAACTCACAAGGGTGCCCCATTACCTTGAACTCCCCAGGGGCCAGCTGCACCCCGCTGTACAAGACTTCTGGAAAGACATAGTTGGTGCCAAAGGTGCCACTGAGGGAGAACATCTCAAACTTGGTGTGAGCCATCTCCACTGGCTGCCCACACGTGTTCAAATCTGTACTCTTGCACTTGAGCATTGTGCATATCTGCAGGAAGGAGGATACAGAAAGGCAAAATACCGGTAAGCTTTCAACAATCACAGAATCATAGAATTGTTTGGTTGGAAAAGACCTTTAAGATCATCCAGCCGTAAAAATCAAGAGCTGGATTTGATTGTAAGAAAGATGTCACAATGAAGAAATTATCTAATACATCTACTCATTTACTTAGGCCCAGAAGATCCATGGGTGGCACTTCAAACTTTGTAAAAATACAGTTCTTTGCCAGCACCACAGTGAAGCACTGTGTCTGTGTGTACACGTGTGTTTATAATTTACGTGTGCATTCATGCGTTATGTATATGCATTTAGTCATGGATGCGGAATAGTTTGTGACCTAAGTAAGTTACTTCAGCTCTGGCTGAATGCCCTGAAAACTGAAGCCATACTTATTTTCCTGCTCTGGTGTGAATACTATAAAGATATAGCACACTAAAAAAAGCTTAAGAGCAAAATTTAAGAGAACCAGTACAATAACAAGTCGTATGAATACAAAGGTTATATCTGTATTTTGTTTCTTCATTTTCTTAGATAATCATATGTTGGAGAATCACATCAGCATAATGGCACAACCCAGTGAGTAGGTAACAGCTCTCTGTTGTGACAAAAGCATCCCTATTAAGACAGGGAGAACTCTACAATCTTCTCTCCCTCTTGTACAAATATATCGAAACCTCCTTGAAGCGTTTATAGCACAGGATCAGCTCAGGGTCTTGACTTTCAGAATTTATAACACAGAGAGAAAAGCAGGATCAACATCCTTAATGAAAGTAAAATGTATCATGAAGAAAATAAATGTTTCCACAGGGGCCTAAAAAATGCCTCCTCTTGAACTCCCTCAATCAAAAATGAGACAAATGCAAATGGACAGCAAAGAGAATACTCCAGCCTTCCCACTGACCAAATAACAACAGAAAACCACAGAAAACCTTTACCTGCAAATAATATTCTCCTTCAACAACATGTAGCCCATCAAAGGCACCCAGAACATAAATGTCATCTTTCTGCTTCTCTACCATCTTGTAACTCAGATGGCAACAGAGGTCCTTCTGGCAAACAGCACAATTTCCCTCGGGTTCAGTGAGCTCCGTGAAGGAGAAGAGATCATGGTAAATGACCCCACTGAAATAGTGGCTGTTTGATGGAAGCTGTTCGATCCTGCTGGCATACAATTTCCAGTCAACAGCAGCAGGATAGTCAGGAGAGAGACGAGGGCGTGAACTCAGTTCTGTCACCAAAAGGTGACCATTTTCTGTTTCTGTGTTGTAATAATAGGCTCTTGGACCATCTGGGGCATAAATACCACTCCCTGCAAACACATAACACCAGAAAGCTTTTAATCTGAAAGCAAGTGTATGGTACAAGTAAGCAGTCTTCACTAATCACACGTGCCAATTTTTATTCTAGTGTTTACCAGATTGTTTTGAAATTAAATTAAGCCTTCATGTACTATAATCCTAACTGAATGTTCTTTGCAATCAATGGAAAGTAGGTAAAACTCTGATGCTTCATGTATTGTAAGTGACAAGATTAGTGTGCCAGTTATACACCACTATATATGATTTAAATGGCTGGAGCTATACATTCCTCATTGAGTTCAGCTGCACCAGATATTGGTATTTCTGATTCAAATGAATTATAACACTGCCAAGTAAAAAAAAAAATCTGTAAGAAAAAGATACTCCAAAAGTCACATCTTTATGCAAGCTCTTTACATAAATACATAAATCTTTAAAGCCCAGGGTAAAACCTATCTATAAAGAATATCAATGACCGAGCACGAATGAACAGCCCATATCTGCTTTTATTCAGAAGGTAAAGTTTAGGGCTACTTTTTAGCGGCACTAGTAACTTTCTCTTGCTTCATGGGCACATGCCTGTGAAACTTGTGCATGACTTCTACCCTCTGTTTAGGAAAAATACACAGCAAAGAAAACTTGAGACAGGTCTCCAGCCCAGAAGCAATGTCTGCGACTCACAAGAACATTTTGCAAGATTAGGTTTCCACCTAGTGGAGAAAAAAAGTAAGTTTGGGCCTTCACATGAACAAAAGCATCAATAAACACCAGTCAGGGTCAGAAGATGAAGAATCATCTGCACTAAATCTCAGGACTGATCACTTAATGAATCACCAGAGGTGTTCTAGTCAACCTGAGTATTTCTGAGTTCTACATATCACATCTTGATTTTATTTTTATCTGTACAAGTTCTCTTCTCCTAATCCTGTTGACAAGTGTATGCATACCTAAAGCTGATGGGAATTTCTCCTCAGGTCAACTGCATTACATAGATGTAAATATTGCCCAGGTGAACAAGATCAATTAAATCAATATAAAATTACCTGTCATATATAAAGTAGAGTTGTGCATATTTGCTGAAAGAAAGTTGACACCCATTCCCATGGCCCACGCTGAGTGAAACTGGACTGCTGACAACAGTGGAAGAGTGTTACCCCAAGCAGTTGGGAACAGAATGGTGTCAACCTGAAATCTGTTTGCCAGGACCACAGCTGGGTCATGATAGAGTATGTCTGCACAAGTGAAAATGCCAAAGTAGCCAAAGGATGTATTGAAAGTCACAAATTCTGGATCCTTGGGGTAATTAAACTGTTTCTCTGTCACAAAAAGGTTGTACTGTTTGTGGAAAGGAAGGAATGGAGAAAAAAAAAAGAGAAAATAAATCAAAGCATTTAAATCAGGATAATACTGAATATAGTACTCATCCACTTAAATACAAGTAATGGCGAATATGTTTTGTGCACATGCTATATCTTAATCCTATCCTTAAAAGGAAAATTCATACCACTGCAAGAGGAGTCAAGCACAAGTATCTGTGCTTCTGATTTATACAAGTGCAAGAGGATTTGTATTTAGTTAGCAAGGGTTTAGGTTTAATTAATTTCATTTAATTATTTGCTATTAATTTCAGAATAGCAG